GGTAACTGTTACTGTTGTGCGAGGAGCGAGAACAGCAGTCGCGGTCGCGGCGGCAGATTGAGCTTGCCGAGCGATGCCGGCCAGTGGCCACGGACCGGACCCGACGGCCGCCGCGGTAGCAGCAGCAACAGCCGTCGCGGTCAAGAAGACCTCGCTGGAGAGCGGCGACGATTCCGAAGAGGAAAGCGAAATCCTGGAGGAAAGCCCCTGTGGTCGGTGGCTTAAGAGACGTGAAGTGGTGAGGGTTTTTTTTACATATTTTGTTTAAACGGTTATGTACCTGTTATGTTTTCATTCAAAGTTTTTGGCGTAAGTTTTTGGTATCGTCTGGTTGTTCTTGTGGTCCCACGAGGTGGGATTAACGTAATCATATCTGGACGATACAGTTTTGTTGTTATTTTTATAATATTTCAATCGTCCATACGGTCGCGACAGTCGCCGGTAATTACCAGCTCGAATGAGCTGCTATAATAGGTAACAGTAGTCATCGCCATCGATGGCTGTTGTATATCGGTGATAAGCGATTGCGTGATAAGCCGGTTTTTTTAAACATGCGTTCCAAATCGAACCGTGCCCAACTGCCGCCGCCGCCGCTTCCTCCTACTCTTCCGCCACAGCCGCTGCCACTTCCACCACCACCTCGACCGCCACTGACTGCCACTTAGACGGCAACGTCCGCCCACGACTAAATTATATTGTCATTACGCACTATTATATAATTGCCGACACATTGTGTCATTATTTTCGTATAAATATAATAATAAACCGTTCTTTTATGTTAATACATCAATATGGGATATTATAATAATTTATTACAAATTAAAATATTATATTGATTCAATAATCAACACCCGACAATAATGATTGTCGAGTATTGTCTCGCTGGGTCCACGTCGTTGTTGGTTAGATTGGACCTGAGTGGACCGTCATTCAGAACGTTGTAATATTCTTTGCTTCCTAGTCCCGAAAAACATCCATCGTCTTGCCATAACGTCCGTTGTCGAAATATTACTATCGAACAATTAGACAAGAAATATTTTCATTGATGTTGTGATCTATGTGTAAACTGGAACTACAGTGACCCGAAAACAGTCTTGTTAAGAATACTTTTCAAATGTATTCAGAATACGTATTAAAATACTTGGTGTAATTTGTATTTAAAATATGTATTCAAATACTTTCTTTTAAAAGTATTTAAATATAAATACATACCTTTTAAAAGTATTCAAAATACTTACAAAAATACTTTATTTTAAAATCAATAAATGAATAATTAATAATCAATAATTCCATCAATTCAATGACTAATCGACTATAACCACTATTACCCATGTCATGAAGTACCATTATTGAATATTTTCTTTAATCAAGCCAACCAAATCCTCTTATGTATCCCTCCATCTATTGTGCTTATTGTAAAAATATTTTATACAGATTTTAGTATTTTACATATTAAAATAAGTATGACAAAAAAAAAAAAAAAATTCAACTACATTAATACCTATATTTTTTATTCAAATTATAAACTACTACCACAGTACCACCCATTAATTAAGAAGAAAGACTATTTAAAGATTCAAGATAAATGCAAATCCAACCAGTGGTGGTCAGTGTTTTGTATGCCATGATATAATATGGGAGTGAGAAGCCGAAAGGGGTTTCAGTGTTCAGTCACTCTGTTATCTACTTGTATTTTGGCGAAACCATATTTATAAATTATCAGAAGTTAGAACGATCTTAAAATAATATTTTAAATACTATAAACAAAGTTTAAAATAGTACATTCCGAATTATTAGTAATTTGAATTTGGAGTTGACCACGAGAAGGAAAAAAGTATTTAGTATTCTAGAATAAAAATACAAATAAAAAGTATTTTGTAAGTATTTAAAATGCATTGGTCAAAAAGTATTTGAAATACAAAAAAAGTATTCAAATACTTAACAAGGCTGCCCGAAAATTATTTAAATTTTAGCTAGGTCTTCCTATATTCCTATATTTAGACGTCTTTGATTCGATTCATTTGTTTAACTATAAAAAAAACTACTTATTATCTAAGTAATAATTTATAAATTATTAAAATAATAACCCGCCGAGTACACAATTATAGATGCGTATTAATAAATTGTTAACGTGTCTGATAAGCACTGAGCAGTGCTTGAGTTGGGGAAAAATAAAAGGGGGATGCAAAAGTGTAAAAAAAAATGTGCTCACCTGAATATTTAAATGTCTTATTGATTATATTATTATAGTTTATAATTAGAAGGCGCACGCATAAATATTTTTTTTATAAGAAGAACAGAGTCCGTCCCTCCTTGTCCCCCCCACAATTTAAGCAATGTTGCTAAGGATATAATAAAACACTTTTACTTCCGAGTTTACTTCTTTGTCGTTAAAGACACATTTCCTGGTAAACGATCTGAGATGCATAATAAACCTAAATCGCTTTAATCTGCTTCAATCCTTAATATACAAACAATAGTTCCCTCCAACACTGAAATCGTTTTACTTATACAATATTTATATGTAATGTATAAGTAAATAGGTTCATGCTATGAGGATGATCAATTTATTATAATTTAAAACATATACACGTAGGTACCTCCTATAATTGCTGGAATATTGTTTTTATTCTTATTTTTATTTTACGATACTCGATACTTAGGTATTACCTATTACGATATTGGTCTCATACTCGGTAACCAGGTTGTATATAAATATGTTTTATGTGGTATTTCGGTCTAGTTAACAAGTAATTTAAACTCTATGAGTTAACATGATACTTTTGCACAAGAACAATCGTTTTGAGGTGTGTTGTAGGTAGTTAACTTATTACTTATGCTATTCTAATAAAAATATTATCATTAAGACATTGTTATCTAAAAAGAAAAAATGAGTCTCCATACTGAATACAAATTATTGTAAATACCTACTCTTGTAAAGTTAGTTTACAGACCAAGTACTTATTTGAATTTAATAAAATAATTATGCATGCTGTCATGAAGTGTATAAATGTGTAGTATAATAATGTTTATAGAAATGTTTATTGAAATAGGCATGAACTACGTAAATTAGGTAGTTGAAATTAATTTATACCTACACGATTTTATAAGTAGGTAGGTACAAGTGATGACTAAAATACAGATTTGAATACAATTTTATCAAGGATTTTATCATTAGATACAAATTGATAACATATTGAGTTATGTATAAACGTGTAAAAAAGATTAAAATTTAAAATAAGACAATATTGCCTGTATTTACTTAATTCAATAAATAATTCCTTGACCTTGATATTAAAAAAAATAACTAAACACTTTTACAGTTTTACCCCCTTATAATAATTAAGTATTACCTATCTATATTAATTATCTGTTGAAAATGTATTAATTTTTCAAACTCATTTTATGAGATAATTTTTATCGAATAGGTTATAGGTATTGTTATAATCTATAGCTCGATCCCAGGCTCGATCTATATTCGTATAAAATGGATAAAGACCTACCTATATTCTTAATTCTGGGCTCTGGGAATAGTTGAAATCACAAAAGAATAAGTTCGTACACAAGGGCTACATATTAATTATAGCATATATTATTATACGTAGGTACAACATAATATATACATTAAACATTTTATTTTATTGAAACCCCAGAAAAAATAAGTAGACGGATATATATATTCTACAGGATTTATTAACATTTCAAAAAATTTAAATTATTCAATATTTAAAATCATAATCTTTTTAAATCTATGTAAGTCATTACTCATTACCTATGTAATGAAAAATATGGAAAATGTTGAATTTGTCATACTTAATTCATAATTCGAATCAACAAAGGCAATATGAAATCTCGTTATATATGTATAATCTCGCCTAATTTTCATAAGTCTACATAACGACATTTCTGGATCAAGTCTTGTTAATAGGTCCAATGAACAACCTGTCAAAAAACTATGCACTTTACCACAGAAACAGGTTAAAATAGATTTTATATAAATATAGTTCAAGTCGATTTTAAATACACGTCCTGTAACTAAAGCTACATACCTAATACATTTAAAATGCGATAATTTATATATGTGTGATTTTAAATGAATGATTTTCTGCTTGACCATTTTAAATATAGATTATAATTTATAGGTAGGTATTATTCTGGGTTTAATTATCTGTAAGGTCTACCTCAAGAAACTAATTCATTTATTGACATTAATGTTTAATTTTAGAATGTGGTCGTTTGCAAAGTGAACTTTGTCCTAAGATTAAACGTATTCAGGTAGGTAATCATCACTACATTATCAATATTATCAGTAATATATTAGGTGTCATGCCCTATGACCCTGGCTTACATGACTAAATTATAAAAATTATTTAAAAATGTATATTACATAGTTTTAACCAAATATCTGAAATACATTTTCCATGCATTATTATTTTGTTTCTTACATTTTTTGTTTTTCTTTAAAAGAGATCTATGTAAAGGTCGATTAGTAAAGTACATAGATTTCTTAACGATTTCTTAGAACATTACAATTTAGAGTACTATTTGATATATTACACAGTTTAAACAACAATTCTAAATAGGATGAACTTGAATATTAGCGTGTTTAGCTCGGTATTTAGGTACTTCTAAAATAAGGAATATCGAGAGGAATATAACTTCTTCCTAAATATTCTTAAATTCTTGTATAATATTATTATACTTAATCCGCTAAATAAAATACTTGTACAAAATCAATACATTATATATTCGTAACTTTCGTGTGTTCTCAGAAATTATCGGAAATTATATAATTCAATTATAGACATAGGCGTGCGCAGACTTTGTCCGCAGGGGGGGCCTCTTCAAAATTTCTGAACCAAATATTCATGTACTAATGACTACTAGACACTAGTATAATCATTAAATATTATTATAAATTATTATTTATTATTACAAAATATAGTATAATAAAAAAATCACACACAATTTATACATAAGATCCTTATTTACATAGCTATTTACAACTCCATCCTTCTGTCCACGGGAGTAAGGTTTTTGAATGTATCAATTACATCATCAATTTTTATATTATAAGCAAGTTCTTGCTCAATGAATATAGTAAGCAGGCCGTCCAATCGATCCTGTGTCATGGTGCTGCGTAGCTTGGTTTTCACAATACTAAGTTTAGAAAATGAACGCTCGCAAGCACAGCTCGTTACTGGTATAATCATAAATGTTTTCAATGCTTTAATAACATTACAAAATATAGTTTCCCTTCCACAGTTGGATTGTGTCAGCCAATTTATCCAATCACCACATTTATTCTTCTCGCCTTTCGGTATATTATCTGTATGTTTAAGAAGATTAATTTCTGTTTTCAACATATCAGAATTTAAATCAAATGCTGTGGACAAGACTGAAATGTCGTTGCTATTTATATTTAAAACTAATAAATTTCCAATGCTTTGAATCATATTCATTGTTTCTTGGTTAAATCTAATATTAATTCCACTAATCATATGGTCCAATGTTGAATAGTATACAGAAACCTTCATTTCTTCTTCTTTTGAAGACATATAGTGCTGTGTACTACTCAAGCAGTCAATTTTGGTTGACACTTTTCTTTTTTTCAGTTGTGGAATTTCAATATCATAATTTTTACACATTTGAATGGTTTTATGATAAATATCTGTGAAATCGTCTTCAGTATTTCTCATAGAAACAAGTAATTTTTTTAATGACTCAACGATTTCTACAGCAGTTAATAAGTTTATGTTAGGTGACTGTAAAAAAGCACTTGTTTTTAATATTGAAGAAAGAATAGGATCTAACATCAACATGGCAAAGATAAATTCAAACGTTTTCATCTGATGGAGAATTCCCTTGCCTTTTGCTCGAACATCTGATTGTTTTGTATTATCAATAATTTCTTCAATTGCTGCTAATATTGACGAATAATTTTCTTTTACTGCACTAATAGCTTCTGAGCGGCAAGCCCACCTTGTGGTAGAAATTGATTTTAAAGTTTTTAACTTTGTGTTTGTTAAGTTGGCAATTTTTTCCAATACTGCATGCCGAGTACAGCTGCCTTCAATGAAATTATAAATTAATTGCATGTTACCGAAGAAATCAAAAGTGATTCTATTGTGTCTCCCAATATAATTTATAGATGGGTACTAACAGCTACTAATTATGTTAAAATTTTCTTTATATCCACAAAAACCTAAATAAATATCTGTTAGTATTTCAAATTATATTTTAGGTGAGCAAATTCTTAGAACATTTGGTTTGCGCATAGGTATTTATGTTAAAATTATAAACAATTATATTAAATATATATTTTGTTATCTCGTAAATTATACACATAGATCACACGTATACCTATGTCATAATTAAGTCCTGTGCGTCTGTGCCTATTGATGCGTTTTTTAATTTTTTTTCATGTACAAATGGCTTCAATTGGAGATCTTTAAATAGGTTAGTTACCTAGGTTATCAAATATAGTTTCTAAAATCTTGACGTGTCTTCTGAAGATTTTTTTTTTTTGCACACAGCACGTGCTCACTGTGCATATTATTATAGATAAGATATTATAAGTAAGAAAACCGTTATTAGGTTGTTGCAAATCTGTACACCTTATTTTATCGCGGGACTTTATCTGCTTTTGATACTTTGAGTTTCTTGACTAATGATAGGCTTTGGATAGTGCCAATTAAGTTGTGTTTGCCAGCACATCGCTTATCAATTCGTTTCTACAATTTATAGTAATAGGTATAACTGATTATCTTTCCTTTGAAATATAATATCAATAAAATGTCACAAATATTCACAAATATCACATATTATAAAATTTGTATTTATTATAAGAACAGGTTAACTAATATTTTTAATTTCTATTGAAATTTCACTAATAATGTCGAAGAATATATTGTGAAAATAATAATAAAAAATTCATTTGTAGCTTATATTTTATAAAATATTTTTGGTTGATGGCCAACCCTCTATCCCTTCTCCGCCTCTACTCTAGTTGGCGTTCGCGCATTGCATTCCCTATTACGATCCATTAATTTAGGCGAAAACAACTATTTTTAATGCCGGGCATTTGGCATTCAAGATTGACAAGACGATACTGTTGTCTGGTCAAGCTATTAAGCTATATCGTTCGAAACGGCAAAATATCAAATATGCCTTAAGTATTTTATTTTTACCTGTTTATGAGTACATTGCTGTTACAAATCTTATTGGATAAGAATTAACATAATTTACCTTAACAAACTTGTTTTTTTTATCATAATTTAATTGATTTACTTATAAAGTATCCTATGCCTTGTAATATTATGTAGTATAATTTACTTAAAAGTTGCTTTTAAGTTAAAATATATAATCATTTATCTGTATTGAAACTCTGAAATTGTATTATATGTTCGAAAAATATATTAGATACCTAAACCTAATACCTAATTATAATACCTCGTTAGGTATAATATTATACTGTTAAAAACGACAAATGGCAATTGTCTGGCCAGTACTCCAATACTTATATTTTATTCAATATAATATTTATTTTGAAAATGTGTTTAGTTTTAATTGGCCAGTTAATACCGGTAAAAACTGTATTAGCAGTTTAAACTCAGTTTAAATTGGCAAACGTTGGCATAAATATTTAGCCAGAATTTTTCTGAATAATATAATTCAGTTTTACATAACATCAGTTTAATTCTAAATACCTTGAGACAATTATAATATGTATGAAATGATTGTACTAAAATTTTTAATTTTTCAATTTCTTTTAATTATTTAATAAATGTTCTGTTACTATCAAGGTTAGGTACTATGAAATGTTTTTAAATTGAATACTACTATTAAAAATGAAAATAAATTATTAGCACAATGTGATCAGTTGAATCAATTCTTGTATTTTTATAACAACGTTAACTGAACTATGGAACGATGGAGTATAATAGTAAAATATACCAAGTAGGTACTCGAATTATTTTTAAAAAATATATTATATTCTGTATATTTTTTACTATTTAACTCTATAAAATGCGATGTACTATATAGAAAAAACGTACATACTATAATTACCTACTTAAAGTTTAAATACACAATTGTAAATTATAGTATTTACATTGAAAATCTGATATTATATTATTTTTAAAACATTACAAAGGTACCTATATAAGGTGTTTTTTCAGAATTTTATTAAACGTGGAATATTTATTTCTTAAATCAGTGTTAAGTACAAGTCTAAGCACATTTAATAGTGATAAATAATTTAATTTTAATTTATAATAGGTTTCTCTCGGTTTCTCTCCTGTACAATTTATTTCCCCCAAATTAAACGTAAACTATTTTGTTATTAATTAATAATTATATTAACAACATTATATTAGGTATTACGGTTGTTGTAATTACTAATTGTATGTTTGCTAGAAGTTTTAATTTTCATAAAATTAGTGGACATCGTTTTACATAACATGTCTATTATTAACAATACCTCAATGGATTATATATTTTATGTATTTGACCTTGGTTTTATGTGTGGTACCATTTTCTTTTTGGTACCGGAATTGTAAAATTTAATTAATTTTACATATTCAAATGCTACAAAATGAGAAATTACTGCGTACATTTTTTAGAATCGTGTTCAAATGCCATAACAGGCTTTCGGCCGTGGTTAATTAAATGCCGAAGACCGTTTTATAAATTATAATTTTCTTTTACTATTTTACTCGGTTATTTTCGTGTTCGATATTTTCACTACAAAATATATTTCATTTATAGTTTTTAGCAAACTGTGTTTGTTAACCATATGCCGAGCCATATGCGATTAGTGACTATATTATACCAAGTAGAAATTCAAATTATTCTACCAATTTAAGTTACATTACTAACAGTTATTATTTATATTCAATGAATAACGTTGGTGCCTACTTATAAGGTTATACCGACCCTTTAAAAACAGTTCCAATTATGCATCCAAAAACAATATTCACAGTGTCATTAAACTATCATAGGATATTCAGTTCGTCTGGTATTTTCTTACTTTTGTATCACCTACTAATTTCTATAGTAATTAGTAATATCTACAATCTACATACATGTATGATATAACTTTTATGATAGGTACAAAATAGATACTTCATATTTTCATACTTTCGACGCAATGATTGATTTAATATTTTTCAGTGTGTTGTTCGAAAATTTACTTTGAAATTCATATTTAAGTAGTCATATTTTTACTAATGGCTTGAAAAAAAAATTGGAGTACCTAAATATTTCTCATTAAGTAGTTTTGGTGCTAATAGATTACTCATTTGTTGGAATATTTTACTTCAATAACTTTCCCAAAAACAAATCCATTTAATTTAAATAATAGATTTAAAATATTTCTTTGTCACATGTTTATATGTAAAAAAAACAACTAACAATGAAGTTTGTACTGCATATTATTATATTTTGTGTAGTTAACGTGGATGCCTATGTGCCTTCAGAGAAACTATGCATGTTCAATATCATATTACTTTATTTATTTAAATAAAAAACTTTGGAATTTATTGAAGTAGAATCGGCCCTAGACTACCCAAAAGTTTTAAATAAGATATTTCGGATCAACGACCTTCTAAAATTTGACCAATTGACATAGTAGAACAGTTAACTCATTAATACCATAAACTGATGAATTGAAATGCCCTTAGCCTAATCATAGGACGTAATTTGAATCACAAATTATTTTGACATTGGCTCCCTGGAGTATGGGCTCGTCAAATTTCGTCAGAACGTGATAGAACTGCATTGGTATAGTAATAACCATAACCTCGTTTATCATATTAAATGTATAATATGGTTACGTTATATATTAGCGAAGACCGCGATATACTTGAGCACCACCAGTTATAACCTCCGATTTGTGTAGTGGAAAAATTGATTACTTAAACCATATTGATATCATTTTATTATATCCTTCTGGAAGTACGTATTTCCAAAGCTTCTTGTTATTCCTAGTATCACATTACTGTCTAAATTTCTTATTATAGTAATTTCTTGTATTTTGCTTGTATTCTATTTTTTTTCACCTTATATTTTTTTATTAGCACGTACCTATACGATTTTATTAATTTATATTTTATACATTTTACAATGTTCAAATTTTTAAATTTGCTATAAATAAATATAATACGTACTCTAAGTAAACTAATAAAATAATAAATTGTTTATGTTATTTTAGTATAGAATTACGATATTATATAGGAAAGTTTATAACACGATTTTTATCGATTTGAAAGGTTTGAAAATATTGCACATTGGGATGTAAGACTAGAATCCATTATAAATACTTATATAAATTTAATTTACATTTTGCGAATTTTCGCCCTTTCGCTGTTACTTTAATTAATGAGGTTTTAATTCGATTACATCAAGGGCACACCTTTATTGGTAGTTTTTTTTTTAAAACTTGCATTTCATTAATCATAACTCATAAGGATTCAGTTATTCCTATTAGTAAATTATTTTATTTTACATTTTATCCCATTTAATATTAACTAACTTTTGGTTACATTTTACTAGTTTTTAGTTGTTACTTGTCGGTTGTTACCTATATTATATATAATATATAAATATATTATAGTAGTATGCTCCGTACTATACATTAGACTATTAGAGGTTCGATTAATAGTGAATATAATATGTACCTTCTTTATTGGATACCTGGTATTATAATGTATATATTATATAAACGATACAAAAAGTATTGTGTGTTATCATGGTTAATTAATATATATTTTATGGAAAAATTAAAATGTTTATTTTATAATGTGAAATCCTGTTTGTATACTCATACCTATTATTGCATAATTATCACAAAACTGGCATCGACAAATAGCTATGGTGAATTTGTAAAGCTAACGCCGGTGCTCAAGGACGTCGAGGGAACTAATAAAACTAGAACAAAGGACTATTATGTTAATACTGATAGTATTTTTGTATCATAAATAAATTAAATTCTTACCGAATCCTACAAAAAAAAAAAAAACTTATTGCATTGACCACTTAATTAGAACAACATTGATCAGAGTTTATTCAGTAGAACATTAAGTTGATCGTTATAATT